GGGGGGGGTCTCTTGGTGAAAATGGAACAGCTTCAGATCTCTTGGCTGGGTCGTGATGTACTGTCTTTCCTAAGCTTTTCTATTAACCAAGGGGTAGGAGGGAGCACGGCTTGTTTGTTTGTTTTGTTTGTTTGTTTGTCTTTTTAAAAGCATGTTTCCAGGCCCCTTTCTTTGAAGACTGACTGTGAGCCTGGAGTTTGTATTTTCCTTAAGTACTCCCAGGTAATTCTTGTTTGGGACGCCCTGGCAGGTGGAAGGCCTATAGGCTTAGAATTCAGACCTTCCTCCTTTCTGCCCCCAGCTGTGTGGCTTAGAACGTTCCAGCATCTGTGAGCCTAAGTTTCTTCATCAGTAGGAAGGAAGGAAGAAAGAAAGAAAAGAGAAGAAAACAACCAAATCTTGAAGGGCTGTTTTGAAGTCCATATGAAAGATAATTGAGTAGGGTGTTGAGACAGTGGTAACACATTTAATGCTTTTCTTAGGAGCTGATGAGCTTTAAAATATTTTCTTTTGGAGAGGGAGGTCTCCTTAAATAATTCGTTGTCCAGAGGAGAAAGAATGGATACATTTTTACCTAGATATTGCAGTTATTTGAATTCTGGCTTTGCTCTCAAATATTCTCAAATTTCCTCTCTCTAAAAAAGGTTTGGATTTTACTGCTCCTGGAGTGGGATAAACTGAGTGTAGATGCTTTCCTACCAAAATGTACCGGAGAATCATAAATGAAAACTGTGTGTATATAAACCTATGCAGACCAAGAAATAATGATCTTCAGATTATTTACACAGATGCCCCTAATTGGTATTTATTTCCAATAATTCAAATTTGCATCTTCTAAGAGAAATGAGAGTGGCAGGGGTACTTAATCTTGCTCTTCTCTGAAAGGTTAGTAAAGCTTTTTTGTTGTGTAATATTTTCAGGCATATTAATTCCTTGGTCCTACTGCAAAACCACAAACATTTTAGCATGGATTCTGTAGTGGGCAGCAAGCATCTAAAGATTCTTAGCCAAGGTGGCTTCTGGTGAACTCTCTCAGCATGTTTCACCTGGTCACTTTGGAAATTGTTTCTGAGAAGTAACTGTTCACTGCTGTACTTTGTGTCTTCTGTCATGCCAGGATTTTGTAAGGAGGACATGTTTCCACCATCCCTCTGATTTGTAGCACCCACAGTTTCATATCCTAGAATGCAGATTTGCTCTTTCACATGGTAGAGAACAGGACAGCCTCAACTTGGAAAACCAGAAATCCAGAAGTCATTGCCCCTGCCTTTATTTTCTCCTGAGTTCCCCTAACTTTATTTTCTCCTGAGTTCCCCTAACTTATCCCCTCCTAGAGAGTTGAAATGGAGATGAATCTAGACTGAACATAAGCCTAATAAGCCAAGATTTTTATGAATGTTTAACTGAGGTCAAAAATTTGGAGACATTTTTATATTAGGCATATTACTTTCAGGCATATTAACCTTTTCCTCAAGAATGTTGAAGGCAGTACAGATCCTCGTGATTTTTCAGTGATTCCTTTGGGCAAGCTTGCAGTGGGGTAGCTGGGACAAGATTTCCTAATGTCACTCTGCAGGTAGGAGAACTGAGGTCCAGAAAAGTAAAATTTCTTTCTGGTCATACAGAGAGATTGAAACAGGACTGGAAAGCATATTTTAGCTAAACAGAGGCTGTTAAATGTTAAGTCTTCATTTTGGACTTTTTAAAGTTTTTTTTTTAATGATCTCTTCACCCAACATGGAGCTCGAACTCACAACCCCGAGATCAGGAGTCACATGTTCCACCTGCTGAGCCAGCTAGGCACCCCTTGGACTTTCATGACCAAAATATTTCTGTCTATGGACAGAGCACCTTCTGATAGCATCACTGTGGTCACCTTAACCTTCTGAATCTACAAAAACACACCAGAAATGTTTTTGCTCAACTAATGATGGTGGTCTGAACGGCCAATGGTGCTAGGTAATGCACGGAGTTGGGTGGGAAAATGAAGCCTGCTTGCCAGAAGGCTGGGGGGAAAGCAATATTTGGAGCCAATTCAGTATTTGGTGGCGTCAGCACCTGCTTGCTCATTGGGAATGATGTAGTGGTAGGGTAAGGTCTTTTAGCAGCTTTTCTTGAATTAGTAGAAGAAAACTTGTTTGACCTTATTTGAGTTAATTCACCTGAGTTTCAGATTCCTCATTTGTAAAATAGTCTAACCTACTACTTCAACATAAACTCCGGCTTCTCTGTATTTTTCATATTTTTTTCAAATACTGGGCTGTCTCAGCTCTACTTCATTGCACATCTCCTTTCTCTGGAATGTTTGTTCCCCTGGTAGACTGCCTCCTCCTTTGACTTGACCCCAGAATACACACAGCACTTCATACAGATAAGAAATATCTTGTCTAGTGGTGATCGTTGCATGACGTTGTGAATATACTAAAAGCCATTGAAGTGTGGGTTTTAAATGTGAATTTTTGGTATGTGAATTGTCAATTTTTAAAAATTATATGAGGAAAAAGTCTTCTATATGGTGAATTTCTAGAGAAATGAAATTTTGTTGTTGTTTTTTTTTTTTCATCCTTTGACCAGTATCAAACCTTGCACATAATAGAAATTCAGGTAATATTTATTGTATAAGCAATTTGCTTATACATCCTTTGAGATTTGCTCAAAGGATTAAATGAAGGCATATGAGATTGTACCTATCTTGTGCAATGCTTGCCATGTAGTGGGAGAAAATGTGCACTTTTCTCCCCTCATTGAATCCATTCATTTATTCATGCCATTACACACTGTTAGGCACTGAGAATACAGAAATGGATAAACATTGTCCTATCAAAGCATTTAGGATCAGTGGGGGGTGGGGGGAAAGGGGCAGAGGCAGATATATAAACACTTTATAGAATGGCATTAGAGATGCCATAAAAGACTGTGAGCATAGAGGAAAGATCATCTCATTCAGTCTAGGGTCAGGGAGGGGATCGTCATGGAAGAACTGATATCAGAAATGGGTTTTGAAAGATAAACAGGGATTTGCTAGGACAGGAGAAGGAGTCTGCATGCTAGGCAGAAGGAATAACAAATGCAAAAGCATAGAGACATAATAAAGCATCTGCTCCACACCTAAAATCAGATTCAAATGTTGACTCAGAAACAACTTTGAGAAAAAGAGAACAGAAAATAATGCCTCCCACCAAAACAACAACAACAAAAACAGTTTCCAGAATTAAAGACCTAGTTCTCCAGATTGAAAAGGTTTAGTGAAAGCACAGCAAAAAGATCAGAGCCGGTCACCTGGCTGGCTCAGTTGGAAGAGCATGCAACTGTTGATCTTGGGGTCCTGAGTTTGACCCCATCCTGGGCATAGAGTTTACTTGGGAAAAAAAGACATTCAAGGATTCAGATATATCCTCATTTTGGGGGAAGCTACCAGAGAATAAGTGCCAGCCAAACCATGGAAGAAGAAGATACGAGATTTGGGAAATCTGGAATCCAACCCAGGAGATGATGAATAGAAGATCCAGAATGCCACCAATGCAGTTTTCCAAAGAGCAACCAACACAGATTGGAACAAGAGGATAGGTGGCTAAGTAAGAGAGGACCTCAAGGAACGAAAAGATGGAACTTCTGTATGAACACATAGTAATTGTTTCTAATAGGATGCCAAGCATGTTGGAGCATTTGGGGAAAAAATCATAGGTATATGGAAAACTAGGCAGATGGAAAAGGAAATCATTAACTCTAGGAAAAACACATAGTCATAGAAGAAAGGAGCAATGGTCATAGGCTCAACAGTGAAAATATTTGTATAGTCATAATGTAAACACTGGTATATTATCCAAACTGCATAAAGAGAACCTACAAATTAGAAAAAGACAACTGTTAGAAAAATGGGAAAAAAACATGAATTAACTAATTCACAGAAAATGAAACAAATGGACGATAAGCTCAACTCGAGAAATTGAGGAAATTAAAACTATTCACAAACATTAACTTGGCAAAAATTACGAAATTCTGAATACAGGGATTGGTGAAGATGTACGGCATCAGAAACTTCCATCCACTGCTAGTAAGAGTGTACGTTGGTATAATTCCTCTGAAGAACAGTTTGTCAATATCTAGTAGGACTGAAGACCTAGGCCCATAGCACTCCCTGGCAATCTCCCATTCTCCTAGATCGCCTTTACATATCTCACCTCTCTCCACATCCTCTACCCTCCAATTGCTCTTCATCCACCCTAGGTCTCAACTGATAACCTTGCTCTCTGTTTCATCAAGAAAATAGAAGCAATGAGAACGCTTCAACAAATTTATCAGCCCACATACCTGCATCTGTGCCCGTAGACACTGCCTTCTCTCCTATTGCTGTGGACAACCATGCATGATCCAAAAAAGGGGAAAAAAACTGATGACTCCAGAGAAAATGAATAAACATGCACACCCTTTGACTTATCAATTTCTCCTCTAAAGAAATTCTATATGTGCACAAATATATACGAGGTTCATTTTTGCATGAGGATTAGTGAAGAAATGGAACCCAGATCCGTCATCAAGAAAATGGATTTTTTAAAATTGCGGTATAGTCATAACTTGAATATTTTACATCAGGTCAAAGAATGTGCATGTTCATTTTTTCTGGAATCCTTAGTTTTTCCCTCTCTTCTGGATGAAATCAATGTAATAGGCTACCTGTATCAATGTTAAATACCAAAATATATCTTGCTGAATGAAAAGTTATATTGTAGGAAGAAGTGTTTGTTATGAACCACTTATAAAGTCTGAAAACATGCAAAACAATTCTATTGCTGATATGAACATATTTATATGGTATAAATGTATGAAAACATGCATAGGAATGACAAACTTCAAATTTGGGATGATTACCTCTAGGAGGGAAAAAAAATGAGTAGATGGCAAGGTATACATAGAATTTCCATTGTGACTGGGTTTTGTTTTCGTTTTGAAAGCTGGATGGCAGATAAATGGGTGCTCTTTTTTACCTCTTGAGTAGTAAAATTTTTATTACTCTCTGGCAGGGGATGATTCTTAAACCAGATTAAACATCATAATCACTAGAAAAACTTTAAACGTACAGATTCCCAACACCTACCACTAGAACTCCTGAACCCAAAATTTCACAGATGGGGCCCAGGAATCTACATTTTTTAAAACCAAAAGTTGTTTTAGTTTAAACATATATAAAAACTTGATATGTTTATGTATACACATATGTAAATTTTAAGCATACGTAACATATATATGTAATGTTGGACTTGCAGGAAGGTGGCAAAAATAGTACAGAGATGTCCTGTGTACCGTTTACCCAGATTCCCCAGATGTCAACATTTTATCACATTTGTTTTATCCTCTTCTCTGAAACATTTGAGAGTAAACTGCAGACAGAATGTCCCTTTATGCTTAAATACTTCAGTTTATATCTGCTTTAAAAAAGCAGTCTTTACATAACCCCCTTATAATTGTTAAAAATAAACAGGAAATAAACAATACTATTATCTACAAACCTTATTAAGACTTCACCAATTGTGCCAATCATATTTGTTAGAGCAAAAGAAAATTCCAAATCATTTGTTACATTTCACTCTTTTGTCTATTTCCTTCATCTGGACAGTTCCTTAGTCCTTTGTTTTTCAAGACTTTCACATTACTGATTTTAAAAAAGCTTACTTATTTGTAATGCCCCTCAATTTGGGTTTGTCTGATGTTTCCTCATGGTTAGATTTTAGTTCTAGATTTCCTTGCAGGAATACCACAGAAGTGATTATTGTACGTTGTATCAGTAGGCTTAGGATACTGATCTGTCCCATTACTAACTTTGGTGATAAAATTTTGCTCATTTGCTGACAGTGGTGTGTACCAGGTTTCTCTATTATAAAGTTACTCTTGGGGAGATACTCTGTTATTCCTCATAATTTCAACCACTAGTTTTAGTATCTATTATTGATTCTTGCCTAGACGAATTAGTATTATGGTTGCCAAATGGTGATGCTAATTTCATCATTCCTTTTGTATTAGTTGGCTTTCTACTGAAAGGAAGAGGTTTCCCTTGTCCCCCATTTAATACATCAGTATGGATTCATATTTTATTCAAAGTGTTATAAACTTTTACTGTCGTTAAGTATTCTCAGATTGTCCTGCTTTTAGCTAGTAAGAACCCCTTCAAGCTGACTCGTGTAAACTTCTGACTTTGTTCCCAGTTTGTACTTTCTCTGCCTCAGTCCTATATAATCAGCTATTTACCTGGGGAGCCCTGGTGCTTCTTTAGCAGTGAACAGTATTTAGAAACAAAGATCTGCATGTTGGATATGCTCATTGCTTCTGGAATATTGTTGATTCTAGACCCTCTCAACCAAAAAGTCTAAGAGATAGATTATGTAAATATACACACATGCAGATCTATGTATGCCTGTCTATACTGACCAATTTATTGCTATTTTAAAAATCATGTGTTCATACTGATACTTCTGATTCTAGTGAAACACTATAGGGTTCATTCTGTTCTCCCGCTTCATATTTGTAACTCTCAACGATGAGAAAACTGGCTCCCATTATCCACAATATATTTACTTACTTGCTTCATCCTTAAATACATGGAATTGCTAACCAATGCCTTCATGAAAAAAAAAGTCTATTAACTGATTTCCTGTTATCCTAATATTAGTTTAGAATTCTTTTGTGTTTAGTCTGAGAGTATACAGTCCAATTATAGTGTTCAGAAGTTAACTTGTGTTTTATTTCCCCCTTCAGCGTAGGTTATTTTATTCATTTGAAATTTGGTTGGTTCATTTGTTTTGCACATTTTAGTTGCCCTCCCCATCATTGTTAATTTTCTTTTTCTTTTTTTCTTTGTTGTTGCTTTGAGTATATAAAACATTAACATGGTTCCACAACACAGAAGGTATAATTAGATGATTTTCATTATGTCTATTCTACCCAACCCATTCCTACCCAGCCCCTGACAGTAACCAGTCTTTTTTTTTTTTTTTTTAATATTTAAAAAATATTAGTTTCGGGTATACAATATAGTGACTCAATTCTGTATATCATCTGGTGCTCCGCATAACAAGTGCACTCCTTAATTCCCCATCACCTACTTAACCCTTCACCCACCCCCTACTGGTAACCATCAGATCTCTATAGTTAAGAGTCTTGCTTCTTGAGAAGAACCAATCTTAATACCTCTGGATTGTCTTTCCTGTGGCTTTTTAGTGCACAAATGAACATACACATGTATGGTTTTTTTATTCCCTTTTTTTCCCATAAAAAAGATCGCATACTGCAGATACTGGTTTGCACTTTGATTTCTTCACTTAATTTATCCTGGAAGTCACTCCATACGAGTTCATAGAGATCTCTCTCATTCTTTTTTATTTAATACCTGCTTAGTACTTGTATGCCATATATATGTGCATGTCAGTGGTTTCCAGTATTTTTTAATTTTACAAACATTGATGCTATGAATAATAACCTTTACATTTTTGTGTTGTTGGATGTTTATCTTCAAGGTAAATTCTTAGTGGGATTACTAGGTCAAAAAATGATATGCATGTGAGTGTTTTAAACATATGTTGTGAAATTCCCCTCTATAAAGGTTATACCAATATGCATTCTCATCAGCAGGTGTATAAAAGTGCCCATTCCCCTACAGCCTGCCAACAAGGTGTGTGATTATACCTTTTAATTTTTGCCAGTCTAATAGGTGAGAAATGGTATCTCAGTGTGGTTTTAATTTGTATTTCTCTTATTATGAGTGAGAAGGAACTTCTTTTCATATGTTTTACGAATCACCTTTATTTCCTTTTTGGGGGGCATATTTTCTGTTCATGTCTTTTGTCCATTCTTCTGTTAGGTTTTGATCTATGTTTCTCCTCAATTTTTTTCTTTTCTTTTTTTTATTTAATGTTTATTTTATTTTTGAGAGAAAGAGAGAGAGCCAGTGGGGTAGGGACAGAGAGAGAATCCCAAACAGACTCTGCACTGTCAACACAGAGCCTGATTCAGGGCTCAATCCCACAAACAGGGAGATCATGACCTGAGCTGAAATCAAGAGTCAGATGTTTAACTGAGCCACCCAGGTGCCCCTCTCCTCAATTTTTATGAGTTACTTAAATGTGAGAAATGGCAGCCCTTTATCTGTGATACATGTTGTAAATATTTTCTCCCAGATTCTTTGACTTTGTTGATGGTGTTTTTTCCCATGTACAATTTTTGCTTTTATGGAGTCTATCAATCTTTTCTTTCATTCCATTTGATTTTGAGTTATAGTTACAGAATTTTCTTCTACACCCAGGTTAAGAGGAATTCACTCGTTTTTTAAAATAAAATTTATGTGGCTTCATTTGTATATTCAGATCCATTTAGAATTTGTTCTTGTATATGGTATGAGGTATGGATCTAATTTTACCCTTTTTTCCAAATAGCTAACTAGCTATTCCAGTACTATGTATTAAAAAACCCTTTTAGCTGGGTATTCCTTTTAGCTGGGTATTCTTAGATGCCAACTTTATCACATACTAGAGTTTCATAGGTACTTGGTTCTTTGTCTGGATTTTCTTTTCTACTGGTCTGTTCATTTGCCCATACCACACTGTTTAGTTAGAAAGGCATTATAGTACGTTTTCATGTCCAGTGTACCTAATCCTCCTTGTGGCTTTTTCTTTTGTTTTGTTCTTTTCATTTGTTTTTCTTTTTAAAAGTATTTTCCTGGGGCACCTGGATGGCTCAGTCAGTTGAGTCCCCAACTCTGGCTCAGGTCATGATCTCGTGGTTCATGAGTTTGAGCCCCACGTCAGGCCTTGTGCTGACAGCTCTGGAGTCTGGAGCCTGCTTCAGATTCTGTGTCCCCTTCTCTCTCTGCCCCTCCCCTGCTTGCTTGCTCTCTCTCAAAAATGAGTAAACATTAAAAAAATTTTTTTAAATAAAATAATGTTTTTAAGTATATTCCTGCTACTTTTGCATGCTTGTTTTTCTTTTTTCTTTTTTTTGTAATTATTACTTTTTATTTTAAGTAGGCTCCATGCCCAATGTAGGGCTTGAACTCACAACCCTAAGATTAACAGTCACATGCCCAACTGAGCCAGCCAGCCCACCCCTGCATGTTTCTTTTTCTATTTGAAGTTTAGTACTAGCTTGTCAAGCTCCATAAAAAGTTGGTATTTTTTGAGATTGCTTTGCGTTATAAATTAACTTAAGGATAACAGACGTCTTTTTGATGTTGAATCATCCTATCTAAGAACAGAAGCTGTCTTTTCATTCACCAGTCTCATCTAACAAAAGACCTTGCTTTCTAACTGTGTTGGAAAGAGGGAGATGTGGAAGGGTTAAGTGTCATTGACCTCAGTGGGAAATCCATCTAATAGATAGATAATGGCCAAAATTGATAAATCAAGGAAGGATATAAGCAAATTAGTTCCAAATACATAGATAATTACCAAAGGTAAGAGCTATGAGAGTGAGAGTCCTTTCTCTTTTCCTTCCTTCCTTCCTTCCTGCCTTCCTTCCTTCCTTCCTTCCTTCCTTCCTTCCTTCCTTCCTGAGGCTTTTGGTACATGTGTTAGTTAGGATCCTGGTAAGAAACATGACACTCTCAAGTGATTGAAAGTCTGATAAAGCACTATTTATAAGTGTTGGGTGGGGTTAGGTGGTATAAACAAGGGCTGGTAAAGCTGCCCTGCTCAAGCAGCAACTGGGAGCTTAGCCTCAAGCGTGATGGGAGGGAGGGACAATTTAATGGAATCAAGAGATTTGCAGGAGAGGCAGACTACCTAGTAGAAACCTCAGACTTGGGTAGAACATGGTCACTGCTCACTGCAGCTTGACAAGTTGGAAGCTGGGGAATAAGTATCATCTTTCTCTTCTCCCACTCCTGCCTGTGCCCCCTAATGGCTGAACCAAAGCAGAAGGCAGAGTGCAAGGGATCCCATTAGTGCCATTTGTAAGAGGCAGCTTCCAGCACACAATAGGGCAAGGAAGTGTGAGGAGTGGATTTGGAGGGGCACATGGAAGCTATCCAAGCAGTGGTATGATGCATTTAAGTATATAGATATACAGCATATAATAAAATGATAAAATAACAATAAAAAACAAAACAACTTTAGTCAATGAATCTATGGTCTCAAGGAACATGAGTCAAGTAATTATAATAAAGGTGGAAAAGTGGTAAATGCCTGAAGAGATTGGGGATAGTCCTAGTGAGGGAATCTGGCAGATTTTCTGGAAGGGAGACAAACATTCAGTCCAAAACAGTCATGTCAGCAGAAACACCAGGAGCCTCTTGTTTTATAATTGGATGTTCATTATTGGTACAGTGGCCTTTCAAACTCAGCATGTAAGTAAACACCCTCTCCCTGCCTACAGGCCATGGAAGTTAGTCTGTAATTCATGGTTTCTTATTTATACTGCATTTGGCCTCCTTGGTATTCTACGCCTTCTCTATGTTCTCTGCCTCCTCCCACTGTACACTGCTCCTTCGAGATAGGGAAACATTGTGGAAAGTGCTGAATTTAAAGTCAGTAGACCTAGAGTTGAATTCCCTAACTTCCACTTACTAGCTGTGTGACCTTAACAAAGTTGTGTAGCCTCTCTGAGCCTCAATTCCATTTTGTAAAAGGAGAACAATACCTACCTATGGAACTACTATTTATCAAGTATCTGGCACCAGGCCTGTCACTCAGATGAGGATATTGCGGTCTTACTACACAGACTGTTTTGCTTTCCCTCTTCCTCCTGACGTTCTTGACTTTGAGCACCTTAGCATCACTACAATGGGAGTTTCTCTCCTGGCAACTATTTGAAACAGGAAAAGTTTCTAGACAAAGTTGGAAAGGATTTTAACAGTAACCTAGTCCATCTTCCCAGAGGATGCAGGAGATCCTGTCATAGGCTTTCTGATAGATGATTGTCCCAACTCTGCCCGTACGAACTAGAAGCTCACCATGTCCTGGAGCTGCCTGTTACTGGAAGATTGGTTGATTGGAAGAAAGATTTTCCTTGAGTTGGGCTGAAATCAGTTTCCCAGCCAATTATAGACTCAAAGCCATTTAGAGCAAGATCTTCCAGCCCACTGGCTTATGTTATAAAGGAAGAATCCGAGACTTAGGGAGGTGAGGCAAGGCATTGTTCTTTGTGGAGCTACAAAGAACAGCTTCCTCCAGGCCTTTTAGTGTTATCAGTCATCATAGCCTCCAGTTCTTTCAAATACCCCATCCTTCAATTTCCCCCACATGAACGAGGGTCTGTTCTTCACTCTATCACCCACCATTGCATATGCAATTCTGTGATGCTTAGAACTGAACCTGA